CCCCCCCCCTCCTTGTCCTCATCCCACATGATCCTTCCATCACCCTCCCCTATACCTCAATCTCCTCCATTGCCGTACCCCCTAGTCCTCCCCCATCATTCTACTCCCTCAAACAATAGCCACAAATTAAAAATAGAACAGCAATAACCCCTACATAAACAACTAAAGGAATCATAGCAAAAAAAACAAGACCTAATAACCCAAGTAAACCTGAAGTATTACAAAGTGTGAGGAATGAGCCCTCACAGAGCCCTTATCAGACATACAAGTGTTCTGGGCTGCAGGCCCCTATCAAGCCCATGCCCGCCCTAAGTGAAGGCGGGCCTGAGTATCCATGTGAGGCCTGTTTTCGACATTTTTCCATATGTGGGTACTCAGACAGTTGCAGCATGCCAGTTGGTTACAGAGCAACGTGAGCCTCCAGGCTCTTTCCAGAAGCGAAGGGCTGCACTGTACTGTTGATCCCAGAGCTCAGGTGGTTGCGCCCTGGGCACACGCTGTGTGAGGCCGACACATCACTGACTGACCGCAGGCCAATGAGGAAGCAGCATTGTCATCACACATGAGCCGCGGGCCAATGAGAATGCTGCAAACACTTGGAGGATAGGTGGCTGCCAGGACATGCCTAACTGCACGAGGCCCAGGCCAGTATCTGAAATTGGGCCTGGGCACAGACACTTGGGGCGAGAGGCAAGCTGCTGGGCCCCCCACACGCCTGGCCAGGACAGGACAGCCAGCAGCAGGCACACTTTCCATAAAGGAAAGTGTGCCCCAGGGCTACGATATTCTGGCCTGAGCATGCATTACGGCCACGCTGCTGCTTTGTCGTGCGACACTGCGCTATGCAGGCAGGCTGGGGCGCACGCAGGCGCTAAGAGGTGAGAGTGGAGCTGCGGTGGCAGAGGGCGCACGGCGGCCATAGCCGGGCTGAGTGTGGGGGTAAGCGGATGATGGCGATGGTGGTCTTCAGGTAGGAGGTGCATGCAGAGGGGAGATGGTATGATGAGGGGAGGAGAGAGAACGCACCTGGTGTATGCTGGCAGTCGGCATTGGTGACGACGTCACGCACACTGGTCTTCAACTCCGATGTGATCCAGTCGCATGAACGTAGGTAGAATAAATAGGCTGAGTAGTGTAGGCTGGGCGCTGGGCGCCAGACAGTAGGAGCAACATTGGATACAGTGTTGGTGTGACCAGAGAGCGATGGCATTGGCACTTGAGCTCATTGTATTGCTCTTTATTTGGATGCAATCTCGGTGCATTGTGCTCTCTGCTTGGTACATGACTATCTTGACTACTTTGCGATTTTGCAACTTGGATTTCTGTCTATCGCTCTTGCTCATATTCCTTGCAGAAGTACTAAAATGACAAATAAAATGGAATGAACTGGGTTTCTAGCATGTATAACGATAACACCAAGAACTACAGCGATGCTTGAAAAAATAGAAAAAAGTATCATTGTAGCAATTAATCTTTCTCTAGCTAGCAAGCCTACGGCCTTTACTTTCTTCCGAGTATCTTATTAGATTGTTTTGCCTTTGAGAGATGCATCATCAAAAGCGCCCTTAAAGAAAAAGAGAATGCGTAACCGCTTTCTTTTACACTCCCCCTTGCCCTCCTCCGTCGGCCTCTCCCCCTCGGGTGGCCTGGTTAGAACTTAATATTATTTCACTGTCCTTACATCACAGACACCTTCTGCTAAGTACCTCCTGGAAAGCAGACCTGGCTCAAAAGCAATAGCCAAGCCAGTAAACCTTGTCAGTGCACATATATGAGCACAAAGGCAAGAGAAAAGCCTCCAATACCCAGAGAGGACGGACGGTTCTTCAGATGCTTCAGAAGAATGAGTGCAGGAACCAATAACAGCAGTAGCAACCAACCAAGTATTCGGGGCAAAGAACGAGCAGCAGGAACCACAGAGAGAGAAAGAGAGAGAGAGAGAGAGAGAGAGAGAGAGAGAGAGAGAGAGAGAGAGAGAGAGAGAGAGAGAGAGAGAGAGAGAGAGAGAGNAGAGAGAGAGAGAGAGAGAGAGAGAGAGAGAGAGAGAGAGAGAGAGAGAGAGAGAGACCAAATACGGGGTGCAAAAAGGGTCAATGACGAGAAACAAACATAACAGTGCGAAAATGACAGAAACTTCCCAGCGTTCAGCACAGAAATAGCACAAGAATTGAACACAGCTACCACCAGACAGCCCAGACCTGATGTCCACCCTTACCTTCCTGCTTGCATCTCCATCACCATCATGAAGCAAGGCCCTTGAACAATGGAGAGCAGAACGCACTCCCATATCACCATATCAATCATCCTCTCTCGATGTCCACCTCTAAGAGTGCTATCTATGATCCTGCTCATCCTGTGCTTTATGCAGAGCTCAACCAAACCAGGTGGTTGATTAAGAACACATGGCCTGAAGGCAAGAACTTGCAAAGGCTCACAGCTGTGAAACATGGGCTGGCGGTGTGTTTGACGGATTGCGTACGCTACTGCAGATGTACATTACGATAAAAAAGACTGGGCATCTCAGCTACAAACATAGGGAATCGACTGTTCTTACCCTGTACCCTGTAGCTTCCACCACGCAGATGTACATTACGATAAAAAAGACTGGGCATCTCAGCTACAAACATAGGGAATCGACTGTTCTTACCCTGTACCCTGTAGCTTCCACCACGCCATTTTTGCTCGACCTGACAGATCCAAGCTTATATCCTGCTCCAGAAACCACAAATATAAGGATTCGGTGTCTGTGCCCAAACAACCTTTCATGTTGTCCTCACTCAAAAATTACAAACCTGAACCAGTAAGCACTCTGCCACCCTGCTGCATGCGAACTAAACAAACACCAATGAGATGACTATTTCATCACCTCACCTTCCGCGAAGGAAGCCACGGCCATCATGAAGGCCTAAGGAAGCCACGGCATTCCCACCAGTTCCTCCCTTGCCATCATCTCCTGGTAATCCTGGTTGAAAGCCATGGGTTGAGTTGGGCATTTTGTCGAACGCAGAAATTTTGGGCTTCCGTGACCTCGTCCATCACCATACCCCCTCGTGTCCCCCCCTTGGTCCCACTTTCCCTTTTGTCCCTTCCCTTTCGAAACGCTTGTGTCCCCTCGGCCGTTGTTCTTCCCCCACCGTCATTCTTCCGTGCTTTCCAATCTGACACCTCCTCGACTTCCGTATGCTGCACCAGTCCTTTGAGCCACAAAGCAAGGCCAACGGTTCTCCTCCCCTTTCCAGATGCCTTATATCCCCCCCTCTACTTTTGTTATTAGCTTTTCCCGAGCTGAAACCTCAACTTCACTCTGCTGCACCGATCTTCTGAGCCACCGAGCAAGGCCATTGGTTCCCCCTCAACACACGCGGCAGAGATCTCCATGCTATCGAGCATGGGAACCAACTCAACCAGTGCTGAAACGATAGACAAATGCTCCACGTAAAGCCTATACAACCTGCAGTATGCATATTGCCTCTTAAAGAAGGCAATGATCTTATCACCTGAAAGGCCTAACGATGAACTCGAAGAGCTGACACTCGCAGCAGCGGGGGGCAGAGAGCTATTTATGCCAGAACATTCTCCCTGTTGAAGCTCTTCCAGCCGATGCCTCAGTGATTGGCAGAGCGACGAACGTCTTAGCAACCTCAAATTCTGCAGCTGCGGAAATGGCTCACTCAATACCGATGGCTGGATTGTTGCTGCCAGGATTATGAAATCCAGATACTTCCGGCTTACACAATCATCCATCGGCTTTGCAAGCAGGGTTTCCCAGCCTACAGTCTGCAGGCTCCTCCTGTTCCTCGTGAACAGGCCACGACAGCGTTCCCATGTCTCCCTTCCACACCAATGATACGACCGTCCAGTTATTTCCAACGTTTTAAGCTGCACATCATCACTCAGATCCCAGACCGCATCTGGCATGCTCCGTGAGACATCCAGACGCAGGTGCTTAAGCTTCGCACCACTCCTGACTTTCAGGCTTCCGCATGCAGAAACAAAGAGAGTCTCCAGGCTCGGCAGGTCGATCAGCACCAATTCGTTATCATCCTCAGTCTCTATAGTGAGTTCCTGGAGCTTTGGCATGCACCCCTCAATGCAAAGGTGCTGCAGAGCCGGGCCACTAACCGGTTGGAGAGTGAGCCTCTCAAGATTGGGTAGGAGCTGCAGCCACGTAGAAATGACTGACTGCTTGTCCTCCACACACCAAGGAGCACTGAGCACTTGTAACTGTTTGAAGGTGCCTAGAAGCGATGGTAACTGGATGCTTGTGAGGAAGTCGCCATGACCTTGAAATTGGAGTTTGCACTTCTTCAATCTCTTGCAATAGGCGAGTAAGTTCATTGGATGATGAACACTGTAGACGTAGACACGAGAGGGTGAGAAGAGGCGGAAGTCCCATTCCAGACTCTCCAGAGTGCTCCCCACATGTGAGAGCCATGTTCGCATTGCGTATTGTGTGATGTGGTCTGTTTCATCCCCCTTCACGACAAGCCGCTTTAAGCACTTCGTCTTTGAGACAGTAGCTGTCACTGCTTGCTGAAGTCCATATTCTGAGCCCCATTCGCACTTATAAATGCCCGGCACTGGTCGGAAATACACCTCAGGAACCTGCACGCAGAGAGGGTGCAACACAAGCACACCACAAGTCCAGAAGCACATGCATATTCACTTACTTTCTCCTTTGAAAGGATTCACACGACTTTCTCATTTGAAAGGATTCACGCGTCTTCAGTGTCCGATTCTCAGTAACCCAGTCCCAACTTTCCCCTGTATCATAGACCCTTCCCATAGGCCGTTCTAAAAACTTCCGGTCGGTACTGAACCAGAGGTCTCCGTTCCGGAGACCGGTAGGCTAGGGTCCATAGATGTTAGTCGTTAGGTAATGTCATGTGTCAGTCCCGGTCAATCGCAGCTCAGTAAAGTCCTACAACGGTCCACGGTCCACGGACAAGGCGAAAAGGGACCGACGTCACAAGTCTAAGTTTGCCTCTGCGAGTACGAGAGCAGGTGGTAGTCGTCAACGGTGTCCAGGGCCCGAGCGAACACGGGGCGAGAGAGAGCAACAGAGAGAGAGAGAGAGAGAGAGAGAGAGAGAGAGAGAGAGAGAGAGAGAGAGAGATGCTTGTTGTTGTTGATGGCAGCCATAGCCGCCGAAGCTCGAGTGACCTATTGTATATACCTTAAGAGGCAGATAATTTTCAAGCGTGCTCATCTTGTGTGAATCTTGCCTTTCTCATGTGGAGCTTGCGAGATGATGCATGTGTGCCGGGTGGAGTAAAGCGGGTCCAAAGTCAAGAATCATTTCACCTTTTAGAAAAGGAATGCCAATCTATCAAAGAAAGGTTTTCAAGGCAGAGCCAACAG